ATACCCATCCATATTTACAATACTAAGATTCAAATCTTTAGTCTTATTTAAAAAATTTAATATTTTATTCTACTAGACCAATTAATTATCGATAATAAAACGAATTGTTTTCGGATAGCAAAACCCCTAGGAAAAATGTACCCAAGAGTATGACATTCATGAGGATCACATCTTTATTTATTTGAAAAGATTTTAAGCACACCATGTGTTGACAATTCCATTGAATTTCTCATGCTTTGAATCTTCCATAGCCATTGCTTTCGAAACAGTTATCTAAGTGGATCAATTTATAAGTAAAGAAAAGGGTTTTTTTCCCAATGTTATAAGAATCAATAGGACCATTTAACTTGAATTTTGAAATTGAGATCTCAAGTTTTGACACTACTCTTCAACCACTCCCACCATACATTTTAGTCTATTATTTCAAATTAACAGCACTATTTATTTTTATCGTTAAAGTAATTATATGAAATTTATTTTTTTAAATTAACATTTAGATTAATTAATGGTTGAATATAGTTTAAATTTTGAATTCTAACTTCGTAAATGGAATAAACTATAATGGAAGAATTGTCTTTATACTAAAATTTTACGATACTCAGTTTAGATGAATTAATAAACTAGATATCAATGATTATAAAAAGATTATAATAAAATTTTACGATATTCAATTTAGATGAATTAATAAACTAGATATCAATGATTAACTATTGGACCGTTCGGCTGAATCAAACATAAACGAGTACCATAACTATTTTATAAGAAGATTTTGGGGGAAATGGCTCATGTAGGGCGTTCGAAAAAAAAAAAGATTTTCTCAAATAGTATTCTCAACAATTTATTTCTCCAAATAAAGTATTTGCTACGGTGCCGTACAAAAGTTTTAAGATTTCTAGACGTCTTCAACCTTGAAAATTTTAAAGTCGTATGGTAATCTATGCGTCTTTCATCAGAAAAAATAAAAGTCGCATTGTATTCATGTCGTCTTCCCCTTACACTGTAGCAATCACCTTAATTTTTAAAAAAAATTGGTTAGAGGTCTATACGGGGGAATTTCCAACACCCTACATGGACGGGGAAGCTGAAGATTTTGTATTTGAACTTATGGGTCATAAATTTATCTAGAGGTGAAGCAACACACCCCAAGGAAACGTACCCAAGATTATGACATTCATGAGGGCCACATCTTTGATAGCAATTGGACCATTGAACCAGAAAATTTTGAAATTGGGATCTCAATTCATGGCAATACTTTCCAACCACTCTCGTTAGGTATTTTAATGGGTGCAAATTATTTTTTTATTAGTATAGGTTAAGTACGAGACAATATCTATTTAAAGGTAACTCTCAATCAATTGACATTAAACGCTCGCACCTCTTGTATTTTTTGTGCTCGAACCTGAAACATTAAATAATAATAACAATTCTTTTACCACGGAGATCATTTGATTCGTGCTAACGTGTGCATATTAGGTAATTGAATAAAGGGTAAACTACAAATCGTTTGAAGGCATGATCTAAAGCCAAAGGATCCTACGAATCAAATCTCCATACACAAATTTTTCAGATAAATTATACATTTAATACTTAAACTGTCAATTTTAGTCTATTTTAACACCTAGACTTTCAAAAAAATCAAAATTATACTCAATGTTTAGTTTTTATTTCACTTTAGTACCCTCCATTAAAAACTTAACGTGTTTAGTACCTAAATTGTCAGTTTTAGTACCTAAACTTTCAAAAAAATCAAAATTTAATGTTTTTGTTAACAAAATTTAACGTTATATTTTGAACAGGTGTACTAAAATGAAAAAAAAATTAAATTTTAAGTATGATTTAGAAAAAATTGAAAGTTTAGATATTAAAATAGACCAAAACTGATAATTTAGGTACAAAACATGTAATTTACCCTTAAATAAATTTATAAGCTTGATATATTAATAAAATTATTTTTTATTATTAATCTTAAAATAAAATAAATTTTGTATATAAAAATATAATGATTAAGGATTACATTGTGTAACACTATTTCAGTTTTACACATTTTTATGATAGTTATATTGGAGGAAATCAAAGGTCGAAATTTACTCATTGTTTTTTTCAAGTGAATATCTTCTCATTTTCTACGGTTAATCTCACTCTTAACAATTCTATTTAAAAATTATGAAATTGTCCAAAATTTTCTTCATTTTTGGTAAAAAACTCTAGTTTCGAAATTTTTTTAATTTCTCGATGATAAAACATCTTCTTATAAATCCTAACTGTGCGAAGTTGGAGAATGAGAAAGAAGGTTGTATATTTTCATTCTATGTTGAACGGATAGTGGATATCAAAGATCGAAGTGATTTAGGGTTTCACGAGTTTTAAATGTAAGACTTAATTTTATGAGTTTCAGTGATTTATGTGAAATATAAATTGATAGAGTGGTAAGAGACAATGAAGAGAGTTCGCCCATATATCGAGTGGTCGAAGAAGACATCGAAGAATGATATTTGTAGTGTCTGCGTGACACATAGATGAAACCATAAAATTTTTATATCCGAACGAAGAAGATAAAAGAAAAAAGAAAAAAATAATATTTACAACACATACATTCTTTGTCATTAAAAAGTAATCCATGCCTATAATGATTTTTATAAAATTTTATCTGAATTATCTCTAATGTTTTAAAAATATATATTTAGTGAATGTTTTAAAAATTTATTAAATAATAAGTATTTGCTCTGAATTAATTTCAAGCACTAAATTCCAAAAAGAAAACATGAGCCTTTAATGCAAACACTTGTTTTAAACACTACAGAGCAGTTTGACTAGGTCAATACTGCAGCAACACCAAGATTTTTTTTAACAGGCAAGAGAAATAAAGTCTTTTAAAAAGTACGATTTTTATAAATAATTAAAAATTAATTCATAATTTAACTATCTAAAAATATATTTTAAAAATTTACACTTATTTTTAATTTTAATTTTAAAAATATATTTATTTTTCCACTTTATTTTTATTTATCACTTCCAATTAGGGGTGGTAACGGGTCAGGGTGTGGATAGTTTTGCATTACTTAATTCGTCCCCAATACTTGTGGGTACGGTTTAGGGAAATCTCTATTATATGTTTCGAATATTTTTTTTGTCTCCATACACATCCCTTACGGATCCCTACAGGTTTCGGTTAATCCCATCCCAAAAAATAAACAAATATTTTTGAAATCAATGCAACACATAAAACTTGTAATATATATCATATTATCTTAAATTAGTCTCTAATTATAATATGAAAGTTTTAAACATCAATATTCATATAACACCAAATGTATATGTACAATCTTAACAATTTTCCATATCAACAAATCAATGTATATTAAATGAAAAAATATCTAAACTTCAATTTTAGTTCCTTTGAGATGTAACAGTGACAACACGTAATCTCATAATCTTATCATATATATCTTTTATTAATATATATATTAAGGGTATATAGGTAAATGATTATAAATATATTTTTAAAATTTTGTAAAATATCAGGGATCCCTTCGAATACTTTTCGGGGATCTCCACGACTATTCACACAGGTACAATTATCCCCATGATTCGGATATAGCAATCCCCATCCCCATTCTCGTGAGTGAAGATTTCGGTAATTCCCATCTCACGATCTAACACTCGTTCTAATAAGGCACATTTCGTAAAGCATGTTTTCCATGAGAAATGTTGACATAGCACCACGTGAGAAGACACGTTTCAAGGGGCGTGCCTTCTAGGTTTTTTTGCCACATCAGATTCCCTAAAAGTATTTTTAAAAAAATATGCTTTAAAAAAATTTAAAATAAAACTATAGGGACTAATAGCATAATTTAATACATATTAGTTCCATGAGTTGAAGAGCTTAATGGTGTTAGTTTATATAGACATATTGGTGTGTTTAGGTTATGTTTTTAATGTGGGATAAAAGCTAAAAAGTGTATTATTAACTTTTTTATCTCTATATCTAATGAATCCACTTATATACTATTATTAAATTACATTACATTAATATTTATTATTAAGATTTATTAATTAAGATTAGATATTTTTTATATGTTAATATATTTAAATACTTATTTTTTAATTATGAGTTAAAAGAAATTATGTTGAATCTAATATAAAAATATTAGATTAAACATGCATGATCATGACACCATTAAACACTTACAAATAGTTGATTTCTTTTTTTGTGTTTGTAAAGTGTAGCCTCTTGTCAAAATTGCTCTATTTCTTTCTTTACATGATCTACAGGTACAGATTAAGCTTTAACACATAACAAGTTTGAACTCATAATTAAAAAATAAGTATTTAAATATATTAGCCTATAACAAATATCTAATATTAATTAATAAATTTTAATGATAAATATTAACATAATGTAATTTAATAATAGTTTATAAGTAGATTCATTAGATATAGAGATTAAAAAAAGTTAAGAAATACAACTTTTAATTTTTATCTTGGATTGTCAAGAAATATAACATAAATACTTTAATATACCCATATAAACTAACATCATTATACTCTTCAGCTCATGGAATTAATATGTATTAAATTACACTGTTATTGTCCATAGTTTTATTTTAATTTTTTTAAATTATATTTTTTTACTTTTAGGAAATCTGTATCCCTTAAAACCCGACTTTTTAAATAATATTATGTAAATATTTTTCTTGAAAAACACACAATTGGGACACAACCTTCAATCCACTTAAAAAAAATATTAGATCAATAAAATTTGGGAAAAATATATTTTACAAATAATATTATAATATTTGAGTGATTTTTTTTTTTTGGTAAATGTTGTCATTGTTCCCCACCGCTTCTTCACGCTGAAGCAAAGCATGCAATATTTCATCTTCGCTTTTCTGCTTTTACTTTTATACGTGACAAAAGCAGTCTTATTTTATTTGGCTTAATTACTCCACACATCCTCAACTTAATAATTATATTCTAAATCGATCTTCAAATTTAAACAATTTTCAAATGGAACTAATAATAAAATATATATTAACTCCCAAGGGGATATTACAAAAGAGGGCCATGGATTTTCCTTCTACAATCCCCCCTAAAAGACGAAAAATAAAATTTATTACAACAAAAGAACCATTCCCCCATTTTTGTTCCTATAGCTAATCCCCATAAGCTGCTGCAATCTTCAAATCTCCTTGAATGCCAGAAGAAGAAGAAAACAGATTTGTTAACATAAAATACTTATTTGATTTCTAAACTACACTCACATTCTTGAATTCTTATACATATATAATATATATATATATATAAACTACTGAATCCCCTACTTTTACTGCAACTTTGTTTTTCCAGGAAAACAAGCACTAATCTGAATTCAATAAGTCCATTCTTGAGGAAGGTTGAAGCTTCCTTCTTGTCTGAAATTTCTCCTTGCTTGTGTCAACAACGCATTTCTTCTTGCTACTAATGCATCTACAAAGTTAAGAGATGTGAATTTCAGTGTGCGTGAAGTTTTAACTATAGGGTCGAATCGAATTTGGAACAATGGTTTCAGTGTTTACCATAGTTCGATGCAAATCCGGGACTGAATTGGGGCAGGACATTGGTGTTGTTGGGTTCGTCAAAGTTCAGATTTAGTGCTTGGACGACCTTTGCAGGCAGTAACACTGTCGGACAACCTGGTTTCTTTCTAGGTTCAGGGTTGGTGTTGTTGGTGGTGCTGGTGTCGTATCTTCGAGGTATGAAGACACCTGTACCGGCAGAATCTCGTTTAACTCCACCGGATCCGGTGAGAAACATCGCTCTCATGCCGGAACCGGGGTGAGTCGGAGGGTGTTTTTGTTGGGAATGAACTCGAAGTGGTGACCATGAAGATTGGGGTAAACCTAAAGGTCTACCCCCAACAACATTGCTCTTGGTTTTATTATGAATCTGCTGATGTTGCTGATACTGAACTGGTGCTTGCCAGTTACTTGTCTTTCCATTGAACTAAAACCAAGAACCAGAACATATTAAACACAGCAACAACAAATAAGTCCCAAAAAAACAAAATTTAAGACAAGAATGGGAATGAGTTCCAACATGTAAGAAAAAGGGTTTATTTTACCTGATTTGTTTGAGGTTTGGATAAGGAACCTCCATGGTTAAAGTTGGTGTATTTGGGGACTTCATTGCTCAATTTAAGACTTGCAACTTGGCCGGCAGCCGCATATATGAGATCCCAAGCGTCGTTTTGGACACAAAACGGTGACGTTGGTGGAGAGGGAACCTGAGAAGTTCCATTAGGGCTATTATTTCTTGAAGACGACCAGCATCCGAGTCCACTCAGAGTAGACCTTGGTGAACTCGAAAAAGCTCCGTTTTTCTATATTTAGAAAACAAACCCAGATTCTAAACCGGAACAATAACTAAAAATCAGCTCGAGAAAACGAAAAGGGAAAGTCATCGTACCTCGTTTTTGTCCAGAGCATGAACTGTGAGTTTCTGACTCGTTGAGTAGGCGAGACGACGAGTCAATCCAGCGAGAAACTCATCCTCGTCGCTACTCTCAGTCTCAGTGGACTCAACAAAAGATCCAACAGGGGAGCCCAGAACTGAGAACGAGTCGAACATGTATGGAAACTCAGTAGTGAAACCATGACCGAACAGCAAAGACTCAGTACCGTTATTTCCACCGTTTCCGTTCTTGAGACTCGCTTTCTTCATAATCCCACCGTCGTCGGTCAAAAACTCGGACGGCAGCCAGAACTCGGCATCGTCCAACAGCTCAGCCATGTGAAGTGAGTGGGAGTGAGCTTGAAATCGAGAGGACCCAAAGACTGGGCTTTTATGGAAGAGAGGGGGACCCAAGAGGAAAGAGAAAGGAAAGGGAGAGGAGAGTAGTAGAGAATGTTGAAGACAAACTGCTTTTATTAAGGTTTCAGGGTTACTTTGAGACGTTAAAAAATTAATTTTTTTTATAAAAAAAAAGGAAAAACAAAAATCTAAACTTGAAAATTTAAACCCAGTGGTTGGAGACATTTGTCCTGTTTCACAACACACCTGACATCTGTCCTGTTTTTTTAATTAATTAATTACAAACTTAATTAACAATTAAGAGAGTAAAGTTCTTGTTTGTTTAACTGTTTTTGTTTGTTTTATATTTAATTGTCTTTGAAATTTAAAAAAAAAAATTGTGTACTTATATAATTAGGTTTCATTTGGAGGGAAATTTGATGTGTTTAGTGGTTACAATAGGTTGGATTTTCTTGCTTGCAACATATTCTTTTGTGACCCTATGTTTCATAAGATTTATGGGTTTTTTTTTTTTGAAATTTTGAATTAGCAATTTAATACATTAAGTAATTTTACCGATCAGAGAGTATATTTTTTCTAAATATCATGAATTCAAGCAGTTACATACATAGAATATCTGTACGTTGTCGATGATTAAAAAATTACTTTTTCTTTCTTATAGACTTTTTTTATGTCACCAATTTTATGTACAATGATAGGGCAGCTTGTAGCAGCAAAAGGGATGGTGTCAAAATCTTGAATCAATCAAATAACTTGCAAATGAAGTAAGGTTATGAACATGAAATAAAATCAATCAAATGCAAAAGAAAATCTTTCCCAGAGACTATACAATAGGGGAATTTCTTCCGTACGGTAATTTTAATATACAGTTAAGAAAATACGTTATCAATTTTATTATTTTTTTAATAAAATTTATAAAAATTACTTAAAATATTAATTATTTTTAATATTCCCGGTAAAATGTTCAATAATAAAATCATGGGTTTTGGGTGCAACTTATTAGATATAAAATCATGGGGGGGGGGGTTTATGTCACCAATTTTATGTACAATGATAGGGCAGCTTGTAGCAGCAAAAGGGATAGTGTCAAAATCTTGAATCAATCAAATAACTTGCAAATGAAGTAAGGTTATGAACATGAAATAAAATCAATCAAATATGAACATGAAATGAAATCAATCAAATGCAAAAGAAAATCTTTCTATGAGCCTATACAATAAGGGAAGATCTACGGTACGATAGTTTTAATATACGGCTAAGGAAATGTGTTATCGGCTTTATTATTTTTTTTAATAAAACCGATAGAAAAGTATATAAAATATTATTATTATTACTTAAAATATTATTTTTTTAATATTTTCGGTAAAGTGCTCAATAATAATAAAATCGGTATAAAAAATAACAAAACCGCTAGCGATTTACCGGATATATTAACAAAACCGGTAAAGCGCCCAATAATAACAAAACCGATAGAAATAATAATGTTTTCGGTAATTTTTTACCGGTTTTATTAAAAAATAATAATAAATCGATAGCGCCTTTCTTTAACCGTATATTAAGGCTGTCGCATGTGAGACTTTCTCCTACAATAGTGGACATCTAGTTTGTACAAGAATATATTCCTTGTATGATTGGAAGTAAGAGTTCATATCGAATAAAACTCATTATAATTTGAGTTTTCTTTCTCATCAAGCAATTAATCCTGCAAATTTGTGATAACGATTAGGGTTATTAAGGGTCTGTTTGTTTACTTCAGAATGATTAAGTGTTGAATGATTCAGAGGCTCTGGACGAATTAGCTCTGAATGTGACATGTTGTTTGTTTACTGGCTCTTAATCATTCAAAATGTATTTCTGTGTTGAATCATTCAGCACTGTTTTACTGAATAAGTCAGCACTGAATCATTCAGAGGTGTGAAACAAACGCGTTGAATGTTGAACGATTCAACATTCAACGCTTAATAATTCCATTAAGAGGTAAATAAACAGCCCCTAACTGAATCTGATTAAGCGATAAACAAAAAGAAGACAATAGCAAAGAACAAATGTATTGTTTTTTTTAAGTCTTCTTATGCCCTTTAAAGGGGTAATAATGAACGGCTATAATTAAAGTCAAAGTCCATTGTTTAATTTTGGTATAATTGCAAATTTTGAAAGCCCATTATAATAACGTATAAATCACTGCTTTTTATGGGTTTATTTTAATTGCTTAAAATTTGGTGTTTTAGCCATAATTTGTAATCCTCCTCTAGCCCTATGAATGGTGGCATTAGTGGGTAGTGGGTGCAACTTATTAGACATAAAATCATGGGGTTTTTTTTCTTATTTAATCAATTGTTTTAAATTTATTTATCGACTAATTCAAAATCAGTATTACAGAGGTTTGTTATGAGGGTGATCATCTAAACTTAATTTTCTATATTCACGATGTCAATATTTAAACCCATTACCACAGTAAATCAAATTATTTACTGAGATGGTACTATGATACATAAACAATTAAGTACATGTTGATGTATGCTGAAACTATTTCGATATAACAAATTTAAGGGCAAAATGTTTTTGGACTTTATTGAATTTATTCAAAGTTTTTGAAAATAATTTAAAGTCTATAAAACTTGAATTTGAACGCAAAACAATTTTCTGAGCTATAAGTATCGATATTGTTCTTACAGTATCGGTAACACGTGCCGATATTGTTCTTATAGTACCGATACTAAAGGCAAGAAAAGTATAGATACTCCGATGGCAATACCAATATTGCCTAGTGTTTTCAAATGTGTTCAGATTATATTATGCAAAAATGGTACCAATACTCAAATGAGTATCGATGCCATAAACCCTAGTATCAATACTCTTAGCCCAACGGTCATAAAAAAACTAGTTTATTTAAAGGCATTATCAATACACATCACCTGAGTACCGATACTCCTTTGTCTGAATAGTTTTATTTTGCATATTTTTAATCCCAACGGCTCTAAAACATCCTCAACGGCTATAAATTTATTCCAACATATAAAAACAAGTTGATGACACTTAAAGAATGTTACAACACCTATCCAAGCAATTGTGTAAACAGCTATTAGATTCTTATTTTTCTTTTTCTCTTGTACATAAGTGTTTTTAGTTAACTAATTGTGTAAACAGCTTCGTTTGAGAGGTTTCTTGATTACATTTTCTTTATCATTTTTTAAAAGGAATTTGATTATAGTTTAGCCATTGAAAACTAGGGAGTTGCAAAAGGTTACTCTCGAGCATAGAAAAAGAAATAACAAATTAGTGAATTTGTTAGAAATCCTCAGTGTAGAACTAAGGTAGTGGATGTAGATTTGGTTAAAAAGTCGAATCACTATAAATCGTTGTGCAAATTATACTCTTCATACTCCCAAAATGTTCAAATGAAGAAGATGGTGATAATTGGTGTCCCACAAGTGTGTTTTAAAATTTTCTTTTGCATGATTTTGCATGTTGAGGGAGGACATTGTGGACAAATTTGAATTGCAAGGGCATTGATCAGCCGCATTTGAAGGCCACTAATTAAAAGCATAAAACATAATCATTAAGGCACTCCCTCCATGCATTATTTGTTATCATTAGGTTTTTCTTCTTTTTCAAGACTGCAATTTGATTTTCAGTAGATAATAGTACCAATTTTACTGCAATACATATCCATATATTATTATGCTAAATTCAGGGTAAACTATGTATTTAGTACTTAAACTATTGGTTTTGGCCTATTTTGGTACTTGAATTTTTAATTTTTTCAAAATCATAACTAACATTTAGTTTCTGTTTCATTTTAGTACCTCGTCTTTAAAAACTTATCGGATGATTTGCACGTGGCACCTATTTCATAGATAAATTGCATCATTCATCACTCAACTATCTTCTCACTCTTATTTTTTGTCACTCGACCATCTTCTCATTATTTTATTTAGGGTAAATTAGGCTTTTAGTACCTAAACTATCAATTTTGATCCGTTTTAGTACCAAAACTTTTAATTTTTCCCCAAACCATGCCTAATTAGTTTTTTAGAGTGATTAAAATCGGAACAATTTGAAAGTTGAGTAATTAAATAAATCTTTTTTTTAAACTTTAGTACCAAATTGAGATTGAGAAGATGGTTGAGTGATTAATAATGTAATTTACCCATAAAAACTGTAGTGTCGTTACGTTTTTAACGGCGAGATACTGAAATGAAACAAAAAACTAAACTTTAATTATAGTTTTGAAAAAAACTGAAAGGGTATATACTAAAATGGACCTAAAGTTATAGTTTATGTATTAAACATGTAATTTACCCTAAACTTAATTTAAAATTAAATTTGAGTCAAAATATTCTAATCATATCGTTGGCTCCACATATCCCATCGCTCACATAAATCATAAATAAAAAACTTGTTGTAGATAAGTGATAAGCCACTCCAGTCCTTCAAAATCAACTTTAGCTATAAGAAATGTCAAAGAATTCGGAGAAAAAAACTAATAACCGAAAGATTATTTTAGAAGCAAAGTTTTATTCTGATATATTTCATATATGTTTTATGATTTATGTTTATAGTTTGTAATTTCATCCTTAATATCACGAATTAACCTACCTCGGTGATTAAAGGAACGAATGTTATTTTTAGAAGTCTCAAGTTCGAGCATCATAGATTGTAGAGTATTTAAGCGTGTTCATTATTATTTTTTAATAATCTGAGGTAAGTAAAAGGCAATATATGTTCGAAGATAACTCTCAACCTTTCAACATTGTTGAGTGCGTTCATTATTAGAATGTCATGCATAATTTAGTTTTACATAAAACTACACGGGATACAACTAAATTTTGGGTGGTATATATTACACCATTGAACTTTCAATTGATCCAGTTATAACTCTAAACTTTGATTTCAATTATAACACTGGGACGTTAAAGTCCAAACAACGTGATGGCATGGACAAAATGACATATTTTTATACCACTATTGATGTCTAAAATGATTTTGGTTTAGACATTGAATTTTAGAGGTATATCGATTTGTCATTAAACTTTTAAACATTTCACTTTTTAGCAATGGGTTGCAATTCACTATTCT